TGCTCTTGATGCCGCCCAGGACACAGTTGGCTTTCTGGGCTGTGAGCGCACATTGCTGACTCATAGTCACTTTTTCATCCACTGATAACATCTAAATCCTTCTCATGGCTGCTCTCAGTCCACTCATCACCCAGCCTGTATTTGTGCTTGGGATTGCACTGACCCATGTGCAGGACCTTGCACTTGGTCTTTTTGAACTCCATGAGGTTTGCACGGTCCCACCTCGCCATCCTGTCCAGGTCCCTCTGGATGGCACATCCCTTCCCTCCAGCGTGTTGACCACACCACACAGCTTGGTGTCATCAGCAAACTTGCTGAGGGTGCACTCAGTCCCACTGTCCGTGTCACCAACAAAGATGTTGAACAATGCTGGTCCTTACGCCGACCCCTGTGGAACAGTACTCGTTACTGGTCTTCACTGGGACATCGAACGGTTGACTGCCATTCGTCAGTTGCAACCACCCAGCCAATTCTTTATCCACCAAGTGGTTGGTCCATCAAACTTGTATCTCTCCAACAACGACAAGGATGTTATGTGGGATGATGTCAAATTCTTTGCATAAGTCCAGGTAGATGATGTCAGTTGCTCTTCATTTATCCATCAGTGCTGTAAGCGTGTTGTAGGCCACCAAATTTATTAGGCACAATTTGCCCTTAGTGAAGCCATGTTAGTTGTCACCAATCACCTCCTTCTTTTCCACGTGCCCTAGCATGGTTTCCAAGAAGATATGCTCCGTGATCTTGCTGGGCACAGAAGTGAGACTGACTGGTCTTTAGTTCCCTAGGTCTCTTTCATTTTTTAAAAATAAGGGTCATGTTTCCTCTTTTCTGGTCAGCAGAATGCCATCAGACTGCCACAACTTCTCAAATATGATGGATAGTGTCTTTGCTACTTCATCCACCAGTTCCCTCAGGACCTGCAGAAGTATCTCATCAGGTCCCATGGGCTTGTGCCCCTTCAAGTTACTTAGATGGTCTCGAACCTGATCGTTCTCTACAGTGAGTGGTGGTTCATTCTCCCAGTCCTCACCTTTACATCCTGTGTCTTGGATAGTGTGGCTGGAGCCCTTTCTGGTGAAGACTGAGGCAGAAAATTTGTCGACTACCTCATCTTTTTTCATATCCTGGTAACCAGGTCTCCCATTTCCTTCCTGAGAGGACCCATGTTTTCCCTAGTCTTCCTTTTATCGCCAATGTATCTATAAAAGCTTTTCTTCTTGCCTTTGACAGCACTTGCCAGTTTTAATTCTAATTAATTAATTAGGAGCTATAATATGAAATACACAAGAAAACTAATGTGCAGTTATATTGTTTGGCTTTTTGTTGTCTGCACTGAATTTAACTATTGCTTAATATTTCCTGGCAGTTTTTATCAGAAGAAAAATGCAATATTTCTGTAAAATTAAAAGCAGATTGTATTTCACACAGGAAGAATGTGTCCTTGTCAGAGAGTATCACAGATTGAGTTCTGTCAGACTTTTCAGTAAATTACATTGACATTTTGGGGTGGTGGAGTTCACCTCATTTGTTCTCAGTATCTGGGACTAGTAGTTAAGAGCACATGCTAACAAAGTCACATACCTTATACAGTATGTCTTAGTGTGATGGCTAGGTTGAAACGTGTAGATGCTAATCTTTTCTGAAGGTATTTTGTATGTACGATGATTAGACTACTACTTCTGTTTAAACATTTTTGTAAATGCCTTTTAAATGTTTTTCTTGCCCAATGCATTAATTTTTATAAATTGGGAGTTGTTATCAGGCTATCTGAGAGCACAATGGAAAGGCACAGGCATGAAGCACACGAGGTATGCTTTAAATGAACTAAAGTACAGTCCATGTTTGACCATCTTGTTTTATTTTTTTAAACCAGTTTTTTAAATGCTGAGCTTTTACTACACATGTAATAGATTTATATTATTAACTACATGGTTAGCAGCTAACTTCAGGGCTTTAATTTCTAAGTTCAAATAGAGATATTGATTTAAAGTTAATATATAAATATTTCTGAAGAGAATCTTATGGTAAGGGGAAGGTATGTTGGATTATTGCTTTCTTAATTTTTTTAGGAGGCAATAGTGTTGAGGTTTCTTTGCTTTAGGCTAGTTTACTCTCATTCTGCAGACTGCTTTGTATTTTAAAAACTGCACTGTTACCTTATCTACTACTTCTTTATTCTGGGTTTGGTGTGGTGTCATTTTCTGGTTTTGGGGGGGATTTCTTTGTTTCCTGTGGGTTTGCTTTGGAGGGGTTCGGGGGATTTTTTTGTTGATTTTTGAGACCTCTCTGGAGCGTATAGCACATCTTCCTTTTAATGTGGTTTGATACACGAATAAATGCAGAAAACCTTTTGTGTTTCTGTTTTGTTGTTGTTGTGTAATAACGCTTAAAACTATAGCACATGTTTTACATGTGAAGCAAAAGGTGGTATGTCCTTGGCTCATGTAACAGATATGGTAGGCAAAATGGGGATCAGCAGCTGAGGTACATATCTATTTTGTTTTTAAAGAACCTCTTCTGGTGAGGTTTTAAGGCTTGGAGCTGTGGATTTTTTTTTTTTTTAATTTTAAAATTATTTTAATTATTTAATTCTTCACAGCTGTGGGATTTTTTATCAATTCAAGCTGTGTGAGTTCATGTTTAGCAAAAGGGAAGATGCCTGGCCTCTTCCAGAGCATTAAAGTCCCCTTTTTCTTTCCCAAAGCCAATACTTGGAGTATTATATTGCTTGCTACAGATTAGACTTTAACCATAGTTCAAACCAATATGGGGACAATGGCACAAGAATCCCTGTGCTAACTAGTCCTTCATCATGCAATTTTTACGAAATCCGAATTTGTTCTGGTCTTGCCATGAATGCTGAAATAGCAGCTTTGCTCTTTATGAATGCGTACAAGTCCTAGAGGCCAAAAGCTCTTGGCTGTGTAAGAATCTCTGAAGAGTCAGAAGATTGTTTGCCAAGTCTTTGCCATTGATTGGCTATCATATAAGAAGTATTGTGATTCTTGGGACTGGATCTTCAGACAAGGTTATCATTCTTGCTGTAATAGGAAGAATCCTCAAAAGGGAAGGGTATTAAAGGCCTTCACTTACCTGACTTTTCTGCATAGCACCCAGGTGCATACTACCATGACCAGGAATCCCAGACCTCTGGTCACATCTGGCAGCACTTGTAATTCCTTTTTTCCCATGAATTTCAGACATTTCTTAAAAACAAAATTTTCATGCTAATGGAGTCACAGTGGTTTTTGGTTTTGTTTTGTTTTGTTTTTTTCCTGCTGCTTCCAACATGATAGATCAGGTCATTCCTAAAGAAGGTGGTGCATTCTTCCTGGCCCCCATTTCTTGTATGCTTTTGTGTTGATTTTTCTTTTTGCATAAAGATTATATGAAAGGTCTTGGAAATGTGCATGTTCCCCCAATTCCATGTTGTGACATTATCTGTTCTTAAAATTCAAAGTAAAGCCTGTTAATTGGTACATGTTCACATGGGTCTTAAGAGTTGTCTGATGTCTGGGAATTTTTCTGAAAATGAGGACCTAAGTCTTAAATAATACCTTCCTCTTTCACAGAAAAAAAAAAAAGAAAATATTTTCTAAATGGTGATATAAATATATATATATATATAATTCTTTATGGCTTAAAAATGGTAAACTGAACTTGTATTTCCTACATTTTCTCAGTCTGGTAGGCCACAGGCCAATCATACTTTCTTTGTAATACTGAAATAAATAGGCAATGTGCATATTCATTTGCTCAAGTAGTCAAAATGCATCTTCAGGACTGTAGCTTTAATTTTAAAAATATTGATACTGTGTGTATTAGAGTAGAAAAATATGCGGCACTGATGTATCATGGGGCTAACAGAATTTGAATTCATGTTTGAACAGTGATGTGTAAGGTCAGTATCTTCGTTTTGTACTCAGAATTGCATATTGCACATAATTTGAATGTGTGCTTTGGCATGTTATATGTATACACCTGTATGTAATTAATAAAAATTGTAGAATGCCTTCCAGTGAATTTAACCAAAGTAACTGCAAAATTTAGAAAAGTTGGTAAGAGTTGAAATAGTCCATAAACTTTTCAACATCTGCTTTCTTTTTTTTTAAGATTATGCATCTCTTTTGCCACCAAATAGTTTTAACTAGATATGTGTTGATAATAAATCTATTCCAGATATGCTAGACTATGAACACGAATAGTGTATATTTTGATGTTTCATGGCATTAAAACAACATAGTCTGGTGATTTGAGTGATATTTATGAAACAGGTATTTGGCTTATTTGATATGCAATGCTGTAAGACAACAGTGGATCTAAAACCATGCAAAAACTTCTGGTGGAACACACTGTTCTTGGATACAGAACTGTAACTAGTTGTTGTGTTTTGATAAGAAAACATCTATATCTAATGCTGTATTGATATGAGGAGTTCTTAGTGGAAAGTTGACTCAATTATATTGAAGCTATTTTGGGCATGTTGGTAATCCTTTAGAGTAGCGGATTATACAGTACATTAGGCATTTGATAAGCCTTTCATACGTAGCATGTGGCTAATTTTTCAAAGATTCATGGCTTTTGAGAGCCTATATGCAGCCCACTGGAATACCAAACAGGACTGTTCTAGCAGCTTTTTTTCAGCATAGATGATTGAATGATATGCCCAGGAATGTTCTCAGACTTATTAAAATTTGCTAATATTAACATGGCCATTATTTCCCTCTTCTACTGAGCCACATTGTTTTTTTAAATGCTTTTATTAATAGAAATTTATTATAGAGTTTCTGAAATAGAACTTGTTGTACCATTCTGTAGTTGGTATCTGCTTTTAACTACTGTCTTTCCACTAAACTTTTAAGTAAATGATTATTCTTAGTTAAGCCATAGGTGCATATACATGGGGCACACATGTCTGTGTGTATACATGGGGTCTGTGTAGATGCATACTCATAATATGTATTTTTCTTTGTTTTCAAATGATTTTATTTTCTTTCCAGTGGGATGCCATAACTGAAATGGATGAACACAACCGTCCCATTCATACTTACCAGGTATGTAATGTGATGGAACCAAACCAAAACAACTGGCTTCAGACAAACTGGATCTCCCGTGATGCTGCACAGAAAATTTATGTGGAAATGAAGTTTACCCTGAGGGACTGCAACAGTATTCCATGGGTACTGGGAACCTGCAAGGAGACTTTCAATCTCTACTACATGGAGTCAGATGAATCTCATGGAGTAAAATTCAAGCCAAACCAGTACACCAAAATTGATACTATTGCAGCTGATGAGAGCTTTACCCAGATGGACTTGGGTGACCGCATTCTTAAACTCAACACAGAAGTTCGTGAGGTTGGGCCAATAAACAAGAAGGGATTTTATCTTGCTTTTCAGGACATTGGAGCATGCATTGCTTTGGTCTCAGTCCGTGTTTATTACAAAAAGTGCCCTTTCACGGTCCGTAATTTGGCTATGTTTCCTGATACTATACCAAGGGTTGATTCTTCCTCTTTGGTGGAAGTACGGGGCTCTTGTGTGAAGAGTGCTGAGGAACGTGATACTCCTAAATTGTATTGCGGAGCAGATGGAGATTGGCTTGTGCCTCTAGGACGGTGCATCTGCACTGTAGGATATGAAGAAGTGGATGGCTCCTGCCATGGTAAGAAAACATGGTTTGATTTTTTTTTTTTTTTCTTTTAATTAAAAAAAAAAAAGTCTTATGATGTTATATGCACAGCAGATAGTTTATTGTATATTGGAAACATTACATTACATTTTCAAGGAATGCCTCTTGTCCAGAAATAAGCAAAGTTATTTGAAGTCATGATATTGTGGATTTCTAAGAAAACATTTAGTTACTAAAGATGACCTTCATTTTGTCTAAGTGCTCACAATATATATGTGTATAGATCAGCTAGTCACTGTGTCTCCTTCTCTAGTTACTGGAGATAAGTGTACACTTTGGAGAAGGATTACTCTGCCACATTTTAGATATCTATTGCAGGATGAGAGGAGCAGTGACTAGAAAAAAAAAATAATCTTTTTCCTCCATATGCCTAAAAAGGGAATCTAGTTGTTAACTTGGACGCATATCTTTTCTGTAAGCTCATAAAGACAGAGGAGATGAATTCACCTGAAGAGGTAACATCATTATTCATGCTTATGCAGAATAAAGGGGTTTGTTAATACAGTAGAAAATCAGTAGGTATCAAGTTTGATTAGAGACTTTAAGGCCCCATTCAGAGGGGGGTTAAAATTGGAAGTGCTCAAAACGGTTTGATCACAATATAGGAGTAATGCTATGTATCTAGTATTGTTTTTTCACTGACACTAATGTAAAAATGTAGTAAGACATTGTGAAGCAGGTGTCAGTGCATCAGTACACAGATAGCTGCGCTTGGTGATTTCTCTTCCGGAATTTTGCAGAAACCACACTCTGCTGTGGTATGTGTAGAACAACATAACACTGCACCTTGTCACTATGACAGAGAATTAAGGATGTTTCCAATCCAGGTTTCAAGCTGGTGGTGACTTACAAAGGGAAATGTATTTTCTTCCTTTACCAGCCCCTCACTTTCATAGGTAGGACAGTGAACACATGCAGGAGCAAAAAGCATGTCTTCTGTACAACCTAAGCGGTGGTGTGGTTCATTAACCCTCTCTGTGCTGCTCTTGAGAGAGTGGTTGCATTTTTCAAACTTTGTGATAACTGCATTTCATGCACAAATGGAAAAATTCAGATTACTTTATAACATGAATACATTTCTAAAACATTGTAAATGCCGTGGTATACCCGAGTAAAGCCCAGGACTCTGAGCTTTTGTGGATTCAATTTAGACTAGTATCCATGGAGAATGCACATTGAGACTTACTTTTCACCTGCCAGGACTACTGGATAGGTGACACTTAATCATAGAAGGCATCCGTCTTACTGCACAGTTTCTTAGTGGCTAGTTGTTTTGTTAGCTTCAGAAACAGTTATTAAAGAATACATGTACTTTGTATGTTCTCTTCTACTATACATGATAGTTTCAAAATGACTTGAGAATAAGTTACTTTTTCAGTAGTAATGATTGTAAAGAAAGCCTCAGTAGCCACTCAGATACCAGTCTGTTTTGGTTCAACATTTGCTTTGTAGCAAAAAGGAAGAGTCCACAACCATAAATTACACAAGTGACATTGCTGTTGCCCAAATATTTTGCTCAAGAGCTTCTCAGATTTGATGGTATTAGGCAAGCTGCAGAGCAACCTTGGATAATATACAGCATTAAAAGCACACTGTGCACTGTAATCAGAAAATGAAAATCACTTTGTTGTCTGATCTTGCTGGTATTAATTATCAAAATATACTCATTGCAAAGATACAATTTTGACATTGCCATTACTGGAAACAAGTATAATTTTCTACATAAGGTCAAAAGGTTTCTCTCTTAATGGGATAAGGATTTTCTTCCAAGACATTAACACTCAATTAATTTCTGCCCATTATGTGAGTCATACTCTAGAACTATATGTGAGCAATATAACCAGTAACCAAAGCCCACAAAAAATATCAGGAAATTTTTCTGCTATGCATGGACTCCACACATTTATTCAGTTGGCAGTCCAGCTGCTGCTGAAAAAGTGCCTCCTACATGAAATGGAATATCTGAAGCCTTGAGTGTTTGCATATTCTTATCTAATTTGGCCCAAGAGCAACAAATTACTATCTTATAAAATTATAATCTAATAGAGCTTCCATACGTGTTTTGAAATAATTTTCATAGGTGTCTGGTGTTGTCCATTTAGTCATCTTCAGTGTATTTTAATATTATTACTAGTTCTGACAGTTATATTTGTCTTGCATTCCTTCATGAATGTCATGCCTAAGGCAAGCCCAAATGTGTAAGATACTTTCAGAACTAAAGTACAACAATTTAATTTTACTAGTGCCCCCTTTCCAGCTCTTGTGCTTAAACTATGAGTCGAACGGGCTATTTTCAGAGTGGCCACATTTCCCTTTGTGCCAAATCTGCTGGTGGAGATGCATTTTTACAGTGTGACTGTTTATAGAGCATTGTGAACTGAACTGAGATCACTACCAATTTTGATAGTAATCTTTCAGACAGCCATAATGTCCTATTTTGAGGTATTGCTTCTTAGCAGAGACACAAATCAGAAATTTAGAGTTTAGATTTGTCACTGGTCAATACATCCTGAACTAACTCTTTCATGCCCATTAAATTGTAAAATATTTTAATGTTACTGACTTTCTAAGGGAAAATTTGTAAAATTTGCATTACATTTGCATTTAGCTTGTTTTAAGAGGGGGGGAGGTAGGTGGGGAGAGAGAAGCCACTACATCTTACTCTGCTAACAAGATCTGAGACCCATTTATACAATTTTCACATCTGCTAGGTCCCTCCCCAAAATCCCGACCCCAACTCCTTTTGTCCCTCCCATTCACTGCTAGAGTTACAAATCAGAGTCTTGGAAGTATTTGACACCATTCAGTCAGTGCTTCTTGTAGACATACTCTGTGACATACTCAAAACTGACCACTGTTTCTTCTGTATGCAAATAAGTTTCAAAATAATAATTTTTTACTTTGAAATCTGTTCTGGCAATTAATTGAGTAGTGGGCAACACTTCCTAATACTTTATTTTTTTTTTTCTGCTTGCAAATGGTGTCAGACTTTAAATTATACACCAGCACATGGCTCAGCAGGGAATAATAAGCTCTTCATGGCAAATATAGCTTATCTGTCACAGAATTGAAAAACTAAATTTCTGTTTTGATATTTGTGGAGGTATGTACTCTCTTCAGGAAGTACTAAATGACATAAAGGATGGTATTCTGCCTTTGTCATTGCTCATAGTTTCACAAAGCATTAAGAATGAGAATAGAAGTCTTTTGATCCGTTTTACCATGGCTGTTAAAATCATAGGGAAGCAAGTAAATTAGATTTTGGCAGTTGAAAATAACCTAACTGGCAACATTTCAGTTATATCAATATATGTCAGGTTTATGCATATCTCTCTTTGTGAATCTATCAGTATTCTCTCTCCGTTGTATTTGCATTTAAAAACATCATTTCAGAATGAAAGTGTCTAGAATTCACAACTGGATTAAAATATCCATACTTATTAAAAGTATACCCCAATGTGTGTAGAACAGAGGCAGATTGATAGAGAATTTGTCATTGATTTGGGGACTGTCTTCCTTTTTCTGAAGTCAGTGGGGAAAAGTCACATTGATTGCAAGAGGTTCACAGTTACTTGTCAGGTAGATTTCTTAATGGCATCACCTGAAAAAATACTATCCTCTCTGAACTGATTGTGTAAACAATCTATTGCTCTTTGATTTGAATCTGCTTTCAAGTTTTTTTTTCCCTGCAAAGTCCTGAAATAGCAACAGCATTCACATATTATTCTCATTCTTTAGGTGTTAATAAATGAGTTAGTGCTAATAATTTGGCAATGCTTATCATAAATGGCTCTAATGTGAAGTGCTTGCTTTGCAAAGTTATTGGTACCAGCCCCATTCACCAGTCAAAGCATAGAAGGAGGAGATGCTGCATAGGATTCTAATAAACATCAATTAAAAGTAGCAAGTTCAATGTCATATCTTCTCTAAATGTCAGTCCAAGACAAGAGTTGTGCTAAATTTAACAAATGTATAATATATTATACAGGCTATATCAGGGCTTTGGGTGTGTTGTTTTGGGGCTCTTGTTTTTACACAGAAACAAGTAACACTATATAAACTTAATTACAACAGTTCTTCTTAGGCATGATATAGTAATAATTGGGTGACTGTTAACTAAAGTCTGATTCTTTAATGATTTACTGAAAATTATCTGAATTACTCAAGGTTAGCAATTAATTGCAGAGAAAAATCCAATTACATATAACAAATACCCAATTATTATAGTAATTTCAAAATTTATTTTAGTTGTTACCAACAAAACACAATGCAGATCTGTATTTTAACTGTAAAAAGTTGATTGTTCATAAGGAATATTCTCAGGAACTGCCCAGCCCCCAAAGGGTGTTGTGTGGTATGGTTGAAGAAATCTTTTAAATGGAAAACAACAGGCATTCACAGACTCACATAGTTTATTTTAATTAAAACAAATACAATAAGAAGTGGGAATATAAAGTTCAAATTCTTTGACCTTGAGTTGCCTGAGCATCACTTTCTAGGTTTACTACAGTCTGAACACATTGAACATCTGTTTAATTGAACTAACACTTCTTTCTGTTATTCATTACTTGAATTTGTGGTAATGTTTCAGTGTTAGGATCTCTAATTTGGCAGCGTATCTTCAGCCTTTTCTTCTGATTCCGTTGGAAAATACTTTCATTTTGCAGATCTGAACTAACCCTGTACTCATATATGTACCTATAGCATGTCTTTGTTACTAGGAAACCAAGAAGTTAATGTTACAGTCATGCTTTAGTTACCTGTCTGATGGAATGAAAACAGGAAGAGGAAAAGATAAGTTTCCTAATAGCAACAGAGATACAATATTGTATTTGTTTTTCTCCCGTGTATATATTTATTCATGAGATCCACTCTTCTTTGCCAGCCCATAGGCACTGAAGAAAGATCTGTAAAGGAAAGGCATAGAAAGAAAGAAAAAAAAAAAAAAAAAAAAAAGGGACACCCACACAAAA